GGTATCGTGGCCACACTTCTCCCTTCGAGATCAACATGGCTGTATTTCTGGTTATCTGTGAAGCCAAGTTCAGGGTCAAGATTTGAATAAACACCTAGTTTAGTAGGGAGAAAGGTAAAACGGCATATATAGCTGTTGTCTTCACGACCTATCTCAGTGATACGGTCGGACATGTGGTAACCGACTTGTTGGAGAAGACGCTTTTGCATCAGGATAGGGCGCTCATTAGGCTCCAGGGTTCGACTGAGATCGTTTTTCCGCATCACGATTTCATAATTATTGAGATCCTCCTGTAAAAAGGACTTGCGACCCAACATCTCCAGTAACTGAGTAACGGTGGTGTTTAAGCCAGCAGATAGAGTCGCGAAGGTTGAATCGATACGGAAAACACGTATACAAAACGGGTGGCCGTCCTCATCGACCTCCTTCTCCGGGCCCGGGTCAGCCACACTGGATAAGCGCGTTCCAGTATCCTCTGTTGGTCTTTTAACTTGCCAGCTATCAGGAGGGTGCCAATCATCAGTACCGATAAGGTCCAGGGGAGTGATGGTCTCCCCATTAGCAGGGAATGGTTTTGAGCCTCCAAATATGCCAACACTTGTGTCTGTTGGAGATATGGCATCCGGTTGTGTTACTATGCCCGACATGTCACCCAGATTGGTATCAAGGAAGACCTGGTTACTATCAGCCTTATTCCGGCGATCCCTTGCGCCCTTCCCATCCAGAAGCCGGCGACCATGTCTGAGCCGACTAGGACCTATTGCAGACAAGGCCTTACTAGTTGTGCCTTCTTTTCTGCGGTCAAAGTCGTTATTTTCTCGCGAAGTAGACTCTGAACTGCCCTTTCTGCCACGGAGAATGGAACCCGGCTCGGAAGTAAAATAACTAGCAGCCTTAGCCATATCCTGGACAGATTTTGAGGGCGAAGGCAGGTTCTTAAGAGAGTTGGAGGTAGCTTTGGGACGGCGAATACGGTCGAATAGAGATCTTTTGGGCGCAGAAGGGTTAGAGGATTGATCGCGCGCATCTCTCAGGTTGACGCTCCGTGTGCTAGGCGTAGGGCTGGCAGAACGACCGCCGAGTGTAGTAGAAGAACTCATTGGAGTCGGAGCCTGCAGGCTGTGCTCTCTCGGCTGTCGCATAAGAGGCGGGATTTCATCACGACCCGAAGCAGGTCGCGGCGGGAGCGGAGCGCTGATGTTGGCAGTATTGGGCGGCGGGTCTTCCTTGCTCTGCGTGTGGCGGTGGCCGGTAAGGTGAAGACGATGAGTCGGACGAACCTTGGGCGCCGGAGCCGGCGGCTGATGCTCAGAGGGATCAGTAGTGGGAGCTTGCCTGACAGGAGCTTCACCCAGATTGGGGATATCTCGGAAGTTCTGGTACTCCCAAGGAGTAACTTCGCTTGAAGGTATGGGGGTTCGTGGGCGAGCGGGATCAGGGGAAGCAGTTCGATCGAGACTTAATGAGTTGGTGGATCCCTTCCGCGCTCTGCCCGCAGAGCCCGTCCGTGGCCTCGAGCTTGACAGCCGACTAGACGATCTCAGCGTCGTGGGAAAGGAAAGGTCTTGCTGTTCAAACTCGTCGCCAAATATGCCCTGGAGGCGCTTGTGGAATCGCCCTCCGTGGGAGCGAGATCCTTGGCTACCGACGGTGGTCGCACTGGCTACGGAGGGCCGTCGAAGGCTGTCTCCATCGTCCTCGTCCTCGTCCGGACGAAGGTTATCTGACTGAGAAAAGGGGTCGAATGAAGACGACGGCGGTAACTCGGGGGAGTCGTGGTAGAATGTTCGCTTCTGTTGCTGCGGTTGCTGTTGCTGGTGGTTTCCATCGGATGGCAACATGGGCGAGGACGTAGCGCTAGGGCCATCATGACCGACACGGCCAAGGGCCATCTTCGGATTGGCGCTTTTTCCGGGACGAAATGTGAGCTCAACAGCAGCCCCTCAATGCAAAAAAGGGACAGGTAAACAAATCCGAAGCTAGACAAAACCCTGCGCAGTCAGACAGCTATCACAGTTGCCCGTCAAGCGCTAGGTATCGCTAGATTGTCCAGCTCGATATCGGCGTATGGAACATGCAAGGCCCGCTCCAAACCGGCGGGCTCCAAGGACCGGTGGCATTCGACGAGAGAATGAAGCTAAGAGAAGCTCGTCAAGGCAATGAATTCGGATGTAGCAGGCGAGTAGTTAAAAAGGGAGCAGCAGTGCGATGGAAAATGACGGCGCGCACAGCCGCAGAGAGCTGAAAGGAAAGTTGTTTCGCACGGAGGGCTGCGGCCCGCTAACAGACGAGAGCGCGCCAGACGCCAGGGCTGGCGGGATCGATCGTCTTTCTTCCGTCTCGCTTCTGCCTTTCTGCTTTGATCCGTCACTCTGTCACTCTCGCAGGTGGGCGCAGGAGGCAACACAGTTCGTCGTTGACACTAACTAGACGGTCGATCTCTCTTGTTTGCCTCTCACACCAGGACGGAGGCGTTGGCCTGGCTGCATAGCAACCTTTTTAGCATCAACAAGGCGCCTGGCCAGCGGTCTCCAGCTCAAAAAACCTTCAGCTGTCCTATCAGAGCGCTCTCCAGCGTGCGACGACAGCGGGAATCTGTCGAGACGTTGTTTGTTCGTCGTTTGACGTCGTCGAACGGCGACGTCGATGTCGCTTTTTTGCCTTTTTGGGGCTCTGCTCACGTGATTCCGACAGTCAGCAAGAGACGAAAGAGGAAAAAGCCGACGACGAGGCATCAAAAAGCAGAGAACAAGGCGAAGAAGGGGGACGACGGCGACGTAAAAGGACAGAAGAGGGTGTTGGTAACATGGGGAACATGGATGTCGACGGCAAGATCGAAGTGATCAGGGCAGAGCGCGGCACGGAGAGCCCCCCCCCCCCCCCCCCACAGGAGCTCTGCGCCCTGAAACAGCTCCACGACGACTCCAGTTTGAGATTTCTCGCGTTTGTTTCATCGAGATCCCCATATCCCATCCTCCTATACCCAGGGATATGGAAAGACCAATGCAGATACGTCATGGATAAGAGGGTGGCTATCCAAGCTATGACCGTTTCTCTCCACCCGTTACGCTGAATGTGACTTTGGCTTTGGTAGCTTATAAGTCCCTTTTGCCATCCGGGGGTAGCGCAATGATCCTGCTGCTTATTACTTTCGTGATATTAGCCTGACAGACAAGGAGTTAGGGTTATAGCCCGTCATTATCTAGACGAAACATGACCTTTCCGTATACTCTCGACGGTAAGCCTCCCAGGACGGCCCGAACGGAACAGTACGGGACCGGCAGCACTGCAATTGTTTCGCTTTGTTTAATGACAAAGATCTATAACTTAACTGCGCAGCTAAAAGTCTCTGGATTTACGTTAGTGCCGCCGACTCCTTGGATACAAATAAGTTGGGCAAAAGAGAAGTTAAGGCTGGTATCTTTGATACCTGATATATTATTCAAATTTTATTTCTCTAGAGGTCTACTACTCCTTCACCTCCAGCTTCTTGATAGCTTCGTTGACATCCTCTCCTACCGAAGCCTTGGCACTGGCTTCGCCTTCCACTGATCCATCTGGTTGGGTGGTAATATTCTTCGCACCACCGGGGTACCTATTACCCTTGTCCTTTGGCTTCTTCTGTTTTTTCTCGGGTGCAGGAGGGAGCGGATAAGCCTTCTTTGCTAACTCTTGCCACTCAGGGTCTGCGGCATATGCGGCCTGGATCGGTGCAAGAATTTTATTCAACGCAGTTGTTATGGAGTGTTTGAGAATTTGAGGTGTTAACTATACCATTAGTCGAGGACATCACATAGAAAGGGAGAAAGGCAGAGAGAAACTCACTTTATCAGCCTGGTAATCGGCCTTGACAGCTTCGATAGAATCGTACGCTATAGCGCCGCCCTCTTCCTCACTCCTATCGACAACAAAGGCACCCTTACCATCTGCGTTCTCTAGGGCGCTAACAGGAAGCAGAACATATTCAACAAAGCTAATCATCCCATTGCCCTCGGTCTCCTTGGGCACTGCATAAGCCTTGCGGATCTTCTTCTTAACCGCCTCAGCGGTATCAAGAATGTCAATCTTTGAATCCGGGTCGGAGGCAGACATCTTCCCGCCAGCCAATCCAGGTACCATCGGGTTCATCAAGTGTGCTCGTTCCTTATACCCAATGCGAGGCAGCGTTTCCTGAGCCAAAGTGAAAATCTTCCGCTGGTCAACACCGCCGAACTGCGCGTCAACGTCTAAATGCTCCTCATCCAGAGCCTGCATGAGTGGATAAATTAATCCAGACAATGGCGCATTGTCGACTTGTTTCACGACCTCTGCACCGGCCTTTTTGGCATCATGCTCAGTCACCATGCTGCTTAGACGGAATATGTCCATTGTATATTTTGCCGAGAGCTGGTAAGAAGATCCCAGCACGAACTCGAGCTTCTCGAGAGGTACGTGTATGGCCTTGAGCATAGCTGTTATTACATAGCGGTAGTAGTCGGCGCGAAAGTTGACAAGCTCAATGGGTGCTTTGAGATTGTCGAGAAAGCCGTGGATGTCGGCGAGCAGGATCTTGACGTGACATCCTGCCCGGAGGAAGTGGGCGATCTTTACAATGGGGACAAAGTAGCCACAGTGCGGTCGACCGGTGGTAGCAGTCCCTAAATTTGTCACACATCTTAGCAAAGTATTCGCTGAATTCTGATATTCTCTTATCTGCTATGCTCATCCTTATGACTCGTGTGTGAGTGGGGTTTCGCGTCGCACCTAGGTAGATTTTCAGGGGTCTGTTCTGCTTGACAATTACATCCTCGAGGATCTCTGGCTTGAGAACCTCCTGTAGGTTCTGTGTGATCAGCTTGATCTTCTCCTGCGGCGTTAGTTCTGACCCCATGGCTGTGCGCTGTTCTTGACCTGATGAATCTTCGACTTTGCTCGCTTTCTTGTTACATTTTTCGCGGGGGAATATTGCTGAGTAATCAGTCACGTGTAATTGTCTCGATCGCTTAGTCATTTATACAAAAATGTTGGCAGGATTAGTCATCCACTTGTTAGAACTCGCAGATGGCTCAATGTTCTCTTTGGGAACATGGGGCAGATATAGGCCTTTTTGTCCCATGGTCCTGTGGTCCATGTTCCAACAGGTTATGAGCCTGGTTTGCGCACTCGAAGCTCCCATTGGACCTTTGGCCTTGGGCGGTAGAGACTGTAGTGTACATTCTCAACAGGCTACGGAGTACCAGAGAGCACGAAGGAAGTCGCCCTACGAGCAAGCCTACGGCAAACAAGCAACGGTCGAATACCTCCGCGTTTACGGATGTATGGCGTGCGTTTTGATATATAAGGATGACCGTGTTCAATCTCAAAAGATGCACCCCCGGGCCTAAGTGGGACAACTCGTGGGCTACGTTGGCAACGGCCACATTTACAAAATTTAGATACCGGAAACGGGTAGAGTCATCACCACTAAGGATGTCTAATTCCCTGAAAAAACTAGAGAAATCCCTGTTCCGCCAAAGGAACAAGCACCTGAGCCATGCCTAGGACCAACGACGAGCCCACCACAAGTCTCACCAGTAGCTCGAACAGTACACAGATCGATCGTGCAGGCACCAGCGGAGGCACACCCCGTTCCTTCAACACACTCTTTACAAGTCGAAAGAGAATACTCCATTCCATGGGATGAGCTTAAGCGATTTGAGCGCCTTGCGCAGCCAGAGCAGGTCCTTCGTGGCTTCTTCAAACACCACAAATTCGGCCATGTTGCAACAAGCCAGGCACATTCTCAGATATCTTGCGGGCCAACCAGAAGCCACATTAACACTAGGCAAACGCCCAGAACGGCGCCTAGAAGCTTTCGTCGACGCCGGAGACGAGGCAACGGTAAATTCGTGGAGTCCTACATCTTCTTCTACGCTGGCTGTCCAATCAAATTCTGGTATCCTCGTCCAGTCGAATTGAGTGCTGCGATCGTCATCTGGCCTATCAGAAGGCCGCGTTTCTAGTATTTCGTTCCTTTTGGCTTACGCAAGGTGGTTGTTTGGATTTGGCTCTCAGTGTCAACTAGACATCGAACAATGGCCTCAACAGGCCACAACGGAACAGCAAACAAATGCCTCGACGTCTAGCTAAGCACAGAAAAACTCGATAAGTAGGCGTAGAATGATGTATGATGATGGCTAACAAGGCAGCAGGCAATACTACGGCTATTTATACGGCTATTTATCTGTATATGATGATCACCGATTGGCCAACTGGTGCCTAGGTACCACAAGCGAGATGGAGCAGGAGGTGGCGGCGGCGGCGCATCATATATCCGAGAGGCTACCAACAAATGTTCAAGAAAGGAAGGCTTTTCCTTTACAGATTTAGACAGCTGTTGATGCCTTGGATGCGCCAGGTCTAGAAATGCTCTAGACATTGGTGATCTCTGTATTCATATAGAGGAATTAATACCCATGTTGTGATGCCAGTGACAGGGATAACGTGTCGGCTTACCGCCGCAGTACCTTCAGCTGAAGAGACCATCTCGCATCTACTCGAAATGGATAATCCGAGCCAAATATTTTACCATGCAGCATCGTGACAAGAAAACTGGAATCCTTTCTCGGCCGGATGAGAGGGAACGCTGTCCTTGACTCGCCTATTATATGTTAAATGAGCTTAGCGCGGTGTCATGGATGTAAAGGATGACATGAGTATTGAAAAACCTATAAAGCCTGGTGAACTTCTTCGTTGCTGAGCCCATAAAGGTTCCTGCCCATCACGTCGATCATATAACCCCAAGATCCAAGATGAATTTCTCTCTCCCAATCTTACTCGCCGTCGTGGCGTCCGTTCTCCCCGGAATTACGGCTCTACCTTATCCAGTCGAAGGAGACATATCTACTTTGCAGTCATGCTGGATTGCATGTTGGGATGCAAGCATCACCTGTCCCAAGATACAGCCTGTAGGTAGCCCGGTTAAATTATTCCTGGTATTGATTAACAGGCGTCACTAATGATATTGCCTTACTACAGTATCCAAAACAAGATGGGGTAGGTTAACTACTGCCATAGCTCCAGGCCATCTGGTATTGATGGCTAATAAACATATATAGATGTGCTGGACTTGCTGTAGGGAACCTGTCAACTAAACGGGGACATCTATTAGTGGGCCATGCATGCATTTTAATTCAAGTTGATCCCCCTGTTATAATTTCTGCTATCCTTCCACTGAGCCACGTTTATAAACACTTTCGACGGTCGGGTAAATACCTATCTTATTCAGATATATTCTACGACGTGTGTAGCGCTCGCTAAGATCGCTCCATGCAAAGAACTTATTACAATTGGTTCCTATTTCACATTTGGCTGTGCTTCCCGCCTTAATTAAGATATCCCTTAGTCTATTAGTTGAGCTCCAGCATTATTTCAAGAACTGAACAATCTGCCCAACCATTGGAAGCCTCACGACCACGATAGATAAAGGCATTGTACGCCCGACTTACATAACCCAACATGCGGCATTGGAAAACGACTTTCGTCACCGGCCAGCGTTTGTTATATCGTTAAACAAGGAC